CTGAGAGTAAAAAATTCAAATTGAAATCTATTTACATTTATAACAATTGATAATAATGATAATTTTTTTTTTTATTACTAATTTTTAAAGTAAATAATTTGTGTGAGTAAAAAAAAAATCAAACGAAAAATTAATTAATTGTAAAAGGACAGACAATAAGTAAGTAAGTAATTTCTCCTTCACCTTTTTGGGTTTTTGTTGCGAGAATTGTGAGAGGAAAAAAAAAAAAAAAAAAAAAAAAAGGAATGAAAAATCTCACCGACAAATTGCATGACGGTATCATTAATGCAAATTGAACCACTACTAGTATTTTTCAATAATAAATCTTTTGTTGATGAAACGTTAGAGAAAATATATAATGTCAAAGGTTTTGGCCTGTAAAAATAATTTAATTCATTGTCAAATCCAATTTTTTGCATGTTTCATTTGTGTACTGACTGACTGACTGACTAAACTGACAAAAATAATCATTTTAAATTCAATTTTCTTTTTATAATCGAATATAATTTTCCATCAATTTTTTTTCAAGTGCGTATTTCCTCACGTTCTAATATTATTATTTAATAGTTAGGGAGAATAAATTCAAATTTTTTGTTACCTGCTGTTTATAAATTTAATGGCTTCATATGCATTTTCAACGTTAATTATAGGAAGGATAGGTCCAAATATTTCTTCTTGCATTACCGGATCCGTTGGTTTAACATCAACTAATATTGTAGGTGATATAAATCTTTCGGAAGGATCGGTTTCTCCTCCACAAGCCACGGTACCATTTTTTAAAAATTTCGAAAGTCGCCTAAGAAAAAAAATTGATTTTTATCCACTAGTAAGAATTTCTTTTTGCAAACTATACGAAAATAATTTAAAAAAAAAAAAAAAAAACTCACTGAAAATGTTTGTCAGAGATGATTCGGCATAAATCGGGGCTATTTTTCGGATTGCTACCAAACCATTCATTTAAAACTTCTTTCGCGGCTGTTACAAATGATTTTTCAACTTCTTTATTACAGAGAATGTAATCGGGTGCTATACATGTTTGTCCTAAATTAATCAGCTAAAAATGATTTGTTGATTTCGTTATTTTTCGAGACAATATTTTAAAATTTTAACGATGAGTATTTTTTTTGTAAAAAGGCAATCAATCACCTTTCCCCAAAGAACTCTTTCTGCAGTTTTTTTTATGTCGGCTGTTCCATCGATAAAAACAGGAGATTTTCCTCCGAGTTCTAGAGTGACAGGTGTCAGGTGTTCATTGGCTGCTTTATGAATTATTTTTCCTACCGTGGTAGAACCAGTAAAAAAAATGTAATCAAATTTTTGCTTTAATAGAGCTGTCGTTTCCGGTATACCGCCATTAACCACGTGAAAACAATCCTAAAAATAATGTACATGTTCTCGTACTTTGTTAAAATGACTTATTAATAATAATTTCATTTTGTTTTAATTACCGTATCCAAATATTTAGGAACTAAATTTTCTATCGCTGCGGCTGTTGCTGGAGACATTTCAGATGGTTTAATTATGACACAGTTTCCAGCAGCTATTGCACCACAGACTGGTAGCATGGTTAATTGTAACGGGTAATTCCAAGCACCGATAACTAAAACCACTCCATAAGGTTCTTTATGTATTTCCAATGTATCGAAAAAATTCATTAGGTCCTTTGAAGGCTAAGAGAATTTTTAAATAATTAAATTTATTTAAAAATTTTTCAAAAGTTTATTAAAAATCATTTATTACCTTGACTGGTGCACTCCACTTTCTCAAATTGTGTATCATTGTCGTTATTTCATTGAGTAATATTTCAATTTCGAATAACAATCCTTCAGACTTACTCTAAAAAAAAAAAAAAAAAAGATGGTAAACATTTAGTAAGAAATAATTGATATAAGTTTAACATTGTGTTGATTGAATATCTTCTTGATGTAAACTATCGTCATTTAAATCTTTTGCACAACAACCTTTCTCAAATCTGTTTGA